CAAACACTTTCTGTGTCCGAATGTCATAGTCATATATATGAATCTTTTACCTCTCGACCATTTCGAGACTCCTCGTCATGTCCGTGATCTCATCCAGAACTCCGAAAAACATTCGGTCACCAAATCACATAACTCATATAATACAAAACCGTCATCGAGCATTAAGCGTGCGGACCCTACAGGTTCGAGAACTATGTAGACATGACCGAGACACCTCTCAAGTCAATAACCAATAGACACTAGTACAGCGACATCCTAAACAAACGGTTTAAAACCCCTTTCCGCGACGACATTTGGAACCGTCACCAAGTGAGCATGGGCGATAGGGGGGTCCTTTCCACACGACCCAGAAATCGTCGAGGATAGGCCCTCGTGGGACCCAGGCTGGGGCCGTGTGCGATCGGGCGATGCATGAAAACCCAATCATTTCCATAGGTATGTACATCCCACACGGTGAATCCCAGAAATCATTTCCGTAGGTATGTACATCCCACACGGTGAATCCCAGAAATCATTTCCGTAGGTATGTACATCCCACACGGTGAATCCCAGAAATCATTTCCGTAGGTATGTTCATCCCACACGGTGAATCCCAGAAATCATTTCCGTAGGTATGTACATCCCACACGGTGAATCCCAGAAAATCATTTCCGTAGGTATGTACATCCCACACAGTTTTTTGTGTGGAAACGTGTGTGCAAGGTGGCCTAACGCAAACAGTTCGCTGTCGGAAGCCGTGTGTGATTGTTAGTTGATTGAACACGCCTACTTTCTAGAAATCGTGCGGGTTGTTTGAGTTCACCGCCCATGGTGCTGTCTGAGTAACCGTTTGCAATAGAAAACCCCAATAAGTAGGGTAATTAGCCTATTATTAATAATCCATGTACTGATCAAACTGATATTTCTTATAAAACACGCCAGATATTTCATATTCGTATAAAAGCAACCAAGATTTCATAATTGAATTACATCAGATAGCTTCGGCACTCAGTTACGCCATTACACAACAGCACCAAGTTTCACATGCAGCGTGAAAAACCTTTGGAAAGTAGCATCATACACAGTAAATAGACATGTGAATTTCATCTGGGAAACTGCACAAGCGAAAGGCAAATATTGAGCCTTCAGTGATGTTGAATGTCCTTGCAACTTTAGGCCAGTGGCTATGGATAATTGCCCGCCCAACCTTCGTCCTCTTTAGCGGAACTTCAATATTGTACCGTGGGTGTTGAATGAGTACCTTCCTCGCCTCTTGACCATGCAGGTGGTTTGAGAGGTAATCATCGGTGAACTGCTTTGAAAAGTATTGAAAATGAAGCTATGCATAAATCGCTGTTGTAAATTTTGAAATGGTGCAAGGGGTAAAAACAAGGTAAAAGAGTTGGTACCATCCTATAGTTGACCGATGTCTTCTTCATTGTGTAAGCAAAGATCTTGCTGTTATTCGTCGCAAGTTTCTTCATCGTAACAATCTTCCTGAGTTTCTTAACTTGACTGATATTCATGGACATCTCATTTCCTCATATGCAAAATGGGTCGAACGGTGGGTCTAAGCCTCTGACAACAGGACCTACATGTGCAAGACCAAATTGTAAGAAACCTAAATATTAGAATGATTCCTGCAACTGCACAATAATGTGCTATTAGCCAAAGGACCCTGCTTGAACAAACCTCGATGGTAAACCGCAGTGTCTCCCATTGTTTCCCTACAACACACATAAGGAAGATCTTGACCAGGTTAACTGAGAGTTGCCATACTATCATGTCGGTGTACAAAAGTAGGGGCTCTCCTTTTGACCCCTTTACTTGTGCACGGGTAGTCAGAGCCGCGCCCACGGCCACACTAAGCAGGGCGGGGGAGGGATGCCGGAGCAACACCAAGGCCAGAAACACTGAAGAACAAAGGGGCAAGGTGGACTCCCCCGGCAAGATCCTTGCCGAAGCGACCTCCGCGGCCCCGGCAAGAGCCTTGCCGGGGCAACTTGCCCAACACCAGCAGAGCGAGCCGCCCTTGAGCCCAGGAGTTCCAAACACCGCCAACAACTACATTGAAACCAAGGCTCGGGAGGCACCTCTGTGGTGACATGCAGATCTTTGTCAAGATCATGAACACGCAAGATCAGATGAGGACCAGAAGACGACGACCCCCGGCGAGACCCTTGCCGGGGACGACCGCGAAGCCACGGCAAGACCCTTGCTGGGGGCCCGACAAGAC